AGGTCTCTTTGGAAGCTGAAGAGTCGGTGAGCTGAGGATGGTTGTAGGCTTGTCTTATTCCCCGATCTCTCAGTTTTTACCCCAATATCTGGCTCCGGTGTTTTTTTTTTTTTTGTTGTTGTTGTTGTTTGTTTTTATTAATAAGACCATTTAGCAATTTGTCTTACAAGTGAGATGTCCATCAGCAGATGAATGGATAAAGAAAGTAAGTTATATATTCACAATGAAATTTTATTGAGCTATAAAAATGTGAAGTCATTACATCTGTAGGAATATTGATGCAACTGGAAAGCCTCATGGTAAACAAAATAAACCAATAAAATAGAAAGACAAACACCGAATGTTTTCCCTCATAACCTTATATGAGGATCCGGATTTTAATGCTATATTATATATATTTTATATATAATATGTATATATATATGTGAAAATATATCGCTCAGGAAACTACAGAGGGATATGAGAGTGAAAAGAATAATGCTAAGGGGAGACTAGGAAAGTAAAAGCAGGTATAAGGAAGCAGAAGGAAGGCTGGTCTAGGAACAGGAGTCTAACTGTACTGAGCAGAAGTGGACTAAAGTAAGATGATCAGCAAATACATAGTATTACCAAAACACCACAATGAACTCATTCCTTCAATACTAATTTTTGAAAGACTAATAAGATTTAAATTATGCGTAGTATGTTTGTCTGATTTAAACACAAAATTAACAAACTCTTATTTTATCGTCAGTATCAAGTGATAATGAGAGAGAAAACACATCAGTTATTTTAATGTAAAACATCAAAAAAAAAAAAAAAAAAAAAAAAAAAAAAAAAAAAAAAACAGATGCAGAGAATTGTCAGACAGGTTCCAGATGGAAGAAGCAAAGGAGAAAGAAGCACCAAGTGAAACTCAGGAAATAGCTCCCACAGTATTTCTGGTGAAGCAGAAAGGAATGGTTGAATTATTCAACTCTTTGGCTGCTGTATATTCATTATTAGGATAGGAAAAAAAACAATGATGAGGACACACAAGAAACAGAATAGAAAAAGCACTGAATATGTCATGTTCTTTAGCCTTAGCTTCATCTGCCTTCCAAACTCTCTCTAACACCACTATGGATGGATCTGAACAGCAAACAGAGCATCAGGTTTAAGAAGAGACAACAGTTCAGCAAATTATATAAAATCAGGACGATTTTATTATATTCAAAAAATTAAATACAACACAACCATTAAGATGAATGAAGTATATGCATGTACATTATTAAGAAAAGGCACTCCTGTTATATAGTATGAATGTATGTAGTATCATTGAATAAAAACAATGTTATGTAAGGGAATCAAATATCTTGCCACACATACCTTTAAAAAGATACCCCATGTTCACTGAAAGTATCAATACTTTTTAAATGACCATACTACCCCATATTGTTTACAATTTCAATGCAACCCTACAATAATCCCAATGTTATTTTTTACATTATAGTATAAAAAGCCAATCTTAAAACTCATGGAGGGCAACAACAAAAGACTGCACAATCAAAGAAATCTTTAATGAAATGATCAAAGCTCATTCAAAAGAAAAACTTTATTAAAAGATTATAATCAAAATGGCATGACATTACTATAAACATAGACCTGGCAATGAACAGAATCAGATTTTTAAAATCCATCCACCTATCTTCAGCTAATTTTCAATAACAGTCCTGAAAGCACAAATGCAGATAAAATAATCTCATCAAGAACTGGTACTGGGAAAATTGAACGTCCATGTGAAGAAGAAAATAAAAGATAAAAATGTTGGTCTTAGCCGGGCGTTGGTGGTGCACGCCTTTAATCCCAGCACTCGGGAGGCAGAGGCAGGCGGATCTCTGTGAGTTCGAGGCCAGCCTGGGCTACCAAGTGAGCTCCAGGAAAGGCGCAAAGCTACACAGAGAAACCCTGTCTCGAAAAACCAAAAAAAAAAAAAAAAAAAAAAAATGTTGGTCTTTTTTCTCATGGTATAAAAAGTCAGCTCAAATGAATTAAATATTTGACTATAAAACCTGAAATTGCAAAATCCTAAAATAGGTGGACAGGAAAAAAGCTGAAACAGTATGGGTGAGAGAAATACTTTCTTGTATATAACTCCAAAAAGCCATGGGCAATAAAAACAAAAGAGAAAAATGAAATACATGCACATAAAAATCCACTGAGCACTAAAAGAATCAGTTAACTCTGAAGAGATGTATACAGAATGAGCAGGAATACTGGAAAGCCATGTATGTAAGGGATTGCCTGTGGCTTTTCCTAGGGAGACACCAAGAGCTGGGGGAAAATGATAGTAGCTGTTAAGAGATACCTGATAGTCAGACTCTCTAGTTCAATAGCTTTGTCCAAATTTGCATTCTGGGTGTGATAAAACACTGACCAAAAATAACTTTGGGGGTGAGCAAAGCATTTATTTTAGCTTATAGGTTAAAGTCCATCATCTTGAGAAATCTTAAGAAGTCATCATCTAGGAAAGTCTGTGTGCTACAGAGCTTCCCCATTCTCCTGTACCCATATGCCGCTCTTGTGAGCATTTGAATCTTATTAAACCTAAGAATCCCCCTTATGGCTGACCCTCCATCACCACTTCCCAAAGGTCAGTATGGACAGATTTAAGGGATGATGATAATCATTTTAACCACAGAAGAAATTTATATTAATAGAAATGAAAACAGTAGGACACAGTGATAGATTTTGGCCACCTCAAAAAAGATATAAATATCAGATTATAGACAATGAATTGTAATCTATGATTTGGAGAACAGTAGAACCCTAAGCTTCAGAGCAGAAATTAATGTGATGAAATTTCTTTAATCATTTCACAAAAATAAGTATCTGGTTCCTGTTACATATTGGAAGGAAGACCAGGGGTTAGTTCAGTGACAGACAGAGGCTGGACTTAACTGGCTGAGGAACTGACATTACAGTAGTACTGATAACAGAATTCTAATTTATAAGGTAGACTGAGGACAGAACAGTTGCAGTCCTTGAGGAGACCCAGGCCAACACATAGTGGACAGATCTGATTTGCAAAGATTTTCGTTTTCTTTACAATTTCCTGTTCAGGTATAATTGTGTTCAAGCTGAAATAATGGAATTAAATTTATAAAAGCCACTAACTTATCTTTATATCAATAGATAAGAGTAGTTTTCACTCATAAAAAGTCTTTTTTTCTTAGAAATAGGTGGAGACTAGTACAGATCCATAACTGATCAAATGCAGAGAATAAGTGCTCACTGGGTGTCCAATACCAAATGATATATTTCCAATGTAACCCATACATCCAAGGCTCAGTGAAAATCAAGGAAGTGGGTATGGAAAGGTTCTAAGATTGATAAGACTAAGATGTCTGCTGCAAGACAGCATCTACTATATATAACAGAGAAATTCCACGCAATAAATCTCAACAATATGGCTGCCTAAACAAGACCTGCATAATGTTAATACATTATTGACATGACAAGCTGGAGGGAAGAATTTCTTAAGGTCCCACCCCCAGATGAAGAGCTACAGGCAATCAACTCAGTCTCACAGGAAACTCCTGGACTGTCAGGATCTTACTATCTTTCTGACTTTTCTTCCATGATGTTCCCTAAGCCTAAAGTGCAGAAGTGTTTGTAGATGAATCCATTGGGACTGGGCTCTAAAACTCTGCATTTTGATTGTGATTTTCCCTAGTGGTCTTTGTCTGTTTCACAAAGAAGTTTCTATGATGAGGTGAAAACTACATTTCTCTGTGCATAAACTCGTGGTTATAGATTTTGTTAGGGATTATGTTACTTTAGTAAATTAGTGGTTGAAGATTCTCCTCCAGTAACTATAATTTGATTAATTTTTGATAGTCAGTTTTCTAGGTCATCTCACAATCTCATTTGTTGACTCTAGGGGATGAGCCCTCTCATACGGCAAACAATCCAAGTGGTCAGCAGTAAACACAAGTACATATGAAGAACACTAAATGGATTCACTAGGTTTTCTTGTTTTTTTTATTGTTTTTGGTTTTGGGGTGTGTCTGTGTGTTTGTGTATGTGGTATATAATAAAGAAGAGGCCATGAATTTGAGAAAAAAATGAGGGAACATGATAGAATATTTGGGGAATGATAGAAATACATTGTTCCAATATGAAATTCTTAAAAATAATTAATTTATATTAAAAATCCACTCAAAATTGTCTAACCAAGGCGTGCAGATATTGAGATAGTTGTAACACCTGTAATTTTAAAAAGAAATATTTTTTTCTTATTTAACAAGGCCTTGGTGTATAGCCCAGACAAATCATCCTGTCTTCTGCCTGGAATGCTACAGAGCTGGGATTATAGGTCTGTGCCACATTACCCAGCTTCCTTTTTTGTTTTTCTTTTGTTTGTTTTTGTTTTCCAAT